TTCTTTTAAGATACATTCTTCATTAAATAATATAATTTATATCCGAGGAATTTAAGAGCGAAGACTATTTTAGAGGATAGACTGCCAAGTTTACAAGATACATCGCAGACGATAGTCTGAAACTCGAGTGTACACCGAGCCCCACGTTTGCGATATGAATTTCATTGCGCCCGGAGTTTACGATGTAGACGACGTGCGGCGAATTTGGCCGGTTTCCGTATCACGTGAAACAATCGCTTGCAAACACGCGGAGAGTAAATCTTGGCTGCCATACGGCGATCGGTATACGGTTTTCATGAACTTGTACTTGTATAATATTATACTTAAAGCAAAGTGCGCGCTCCGCTACAATTCTAGATTACGGAGAACGATATTTTTACTGGATATGAATATTTTGTGGATATGAAGTGTGTATGAATATATTTACCGCGCATTTTTATCGTTGTGCTCAATATAAATTGAGCATACACCGAGAAAAAAGTGTTTGAACATTTATTTGTGGCATATAATGTTTATTTCAGGGAAATAAACATTTATTTGTGGCACATAATGTTTATTTATTTCAGTGAAATAAACATTATGTGACACAAATAAATTTTCAAAGACTTTTTTCTCAGTGTACTTTTGAAATAAAATAAAATCGCCGCTGTGCTGCCACTGCCTGTTATCGTATCATATATTATTTAAAAATATATTACTATATCATACACGTTGAATATTACAGATCATTATTTAAAACACAAATTATTTTTCACTGTTTAATTGTGAAATAAAATAGCTTTGAAAGTAGCAAATGGAATTGTATCTACACGAGATAATTTATTACTTTTAGCTCTGTCAACTATTTCGTTTTATTTTAGCATTTTGTTAATAATCGTCTGCCCAGAGATGTATATGACATTAATGTTTTAAAGCCAACGTAATAAAATCGCAATTCAGCATCCATTTTCATTTCGCTAGCTATCGGTCGAGATAACAGTTAAAACGCATCGACCGAGCCTGGGCAATCCCGAACCCGTTACGTTAATTAACCCGTGTTTTCGTTCCCGGAGTTAAACACAAGATCGACGCCCTGACACCGGTGGGGATAATGTACGACTAACTTTAACACGCCAAGATCCACCGGGTGGTAAATCGGGCGATTAAGTTTCTCGTCGCTCGAAAAGAAGCCATCTCCTGTCATCGTGGGGCGATCGGATCCCCTTGCGGCACCCTTCGCAATCTTCTACGTCTCCCTTCGCTGATCTCGCGCGATCCACCAACGTCCTGCCCTCGTCCCACGGTGTTAAACTCCGGGAAAACCGGGTGGGGAGGGGAGGGACACCCAGCGCGGCGAGGAAAGAAGTTTGAATTTTCCAACGTCGAGTTTGACTTGCAGAGTGCTAATATTAAAGTTCGTCGTGTGCCGCCCGGGAACGGGAAGGGCCGGGGCCTTTTCCTCGGAACGGGGACACGGAACGGAGAGAGGTGCTTGCCGCGCCTCGTGCATTAGCCGAGGCTCTCGGGATTAGATTAGAATTTGTTAGGGGCGTCTCTTCGGCGGTAACTTCGTCCCAGGAACGCCGCCAGTTTTGTTTCATCGCCCACGGGCGTGAGAGCTTTTCGGAAACTTTATTACAGGAAGTTCCGTCGGGACGCGCTGCCCTGCCACCAGGAGACGAGGCACAACGTTTTTAGAACCGACCCGTCGAAGCAGTCCGGTAGGGCCGCGAGACTTTCGTCCTGTACCGTTTGCACGCTGTTATCCCTGTCTCGAGTTGTAAACGTCATCCTTGGGTATCTTTTTTTTCAGCGAGAAACATCCAACGTAAAAATAGGATTGTTATCAAATAAAACGGTTCTCAATACTGATGATATTCGTACGTGTTATCGTAAAATTCAGAGAAGAGTATCTTTGTCAGAATTGATAATAACCCGAGGCGAAAATCTAAGTCATATAAGTCATCATTAAATCACGACATATGCTCAATTTCTTTGTCGTTTTCCGTTTTTGAATGCCCTGCGTCATATTCTCAATGCTCCAAATTATAATCAGCTCGAAAGTGTTTCTTCAAAAAGCAGCTCTCGGGGCACCTTTAGATTTAAATGCTACAAGTATATATATACTACGCTTATCTTTTGAGCATTTGTATTAGAAAATCATTGCATCTACATTGCAGAAACTTACAAAGTCATTATTTGATACAGAAATTGTAAGATACAGATCTATTTTTTTCGAATGTTTATGACTCACGATTGATTGGTAGATAGTATCAGCTCAGCCGACCACGGCCCCTCGAAACTTAAGTTCAGTTTGCTGAAGCAGTGGCTTCCAAATTCTACTCACGCGGTATTAACAACAAACTTTCCTCCCTCAGAAGAAGAACCAGTACGGTTTGTCTATCTTCAAGAGGTAGACTTTACCGAGGTTTGCTTCGTTCTTGCTGTACTTCACGCATTAAGCGAAACACTACGGGGCTGGATTAGAATTTGTCAGAGCTGTCGCGCAATAACTTCGTCCCGGGGAAATGCTTGGAGTTTGGCTTTAAGAAGTTTGCCCCTCGTCTTACGATAAATTGAAACTAATTTACACCACGCATAATGAAGTTCTTGAAGTGCATCTCCGAGACCCGGGAGGTGAATGTCAAGAGAAAAATTTGTGACCTCGGAAAGTAGAATGTATCGTGTGTTGCGCGCCAAGTAAAATACTATTAGTCGGCGAATTATTACCCTCGATACGTTTAAATGAAATATTACTCCGTCGAAGTAAACAAATTACGGTCTTGATAAATAATTTAGTGCCAGGATTCATTAATCTCTGATGGATTTCGAGGTATAAAATAATACAGAAGGTTGCGAATAATAATTTTCTTGTGGCGCATAACGTTATAAATTATACGCTATAATCACAAATAATAATAGGGTCTGTTATTGAGTAACAATACTAATCAAATAATCAGATTTAGTAAATTATTATTTTAGTAATTTAATCCTTGTAATCAATTTAAGTGGTTATTTCGAATGAAGCTGATCAACTTTAGCGGTCGTTTTGTACTTTAGCATCGCAATTATCGTTATCCTAATAAATTAGTGCGGTACAAAATGGAAAATATCGCGATTAGTTTCGTTCGGTAAAGAAAAAGATTTCCCTGTATTATACCCTTTTTTTCGAACTTGTCCCTCATCTACTCTTGTAACAGACGTCGATCGTGAGTTCGTTCCAAATTGACAGTTTTACGACCACGTTAAGTTTCTTATTTTCGTGCCTCTCGAAGCCGGAGCACGAAAGAGCTTTTCTTCGTCGTCCCACTTCGAATGTCGACTACCACGAAACCTGACTTTCACTTCCTCTTAATTCGATTCGATTTTCACTATGGCGAGGAGGGCGGTATTCGTATAACGGCATTACTTTTACGATTCCTTCCCAGTCTGAAAATCGCGCACGACTCAGGAAAGCTTAGTACAATTCCTTTTATTACCCAGCAAAAGCCACATCGTTGTCGAAATGGAGCATCTGCACAAATAGCAAAATGCACTTCCCATATTTAACGCTTTGCGACCGCACTAACTTGACAATTACGGCATAACGAATTACGTCACTTCGTATAAAATATATTTTTTATATAGCGAACGAAAATTATGAATAAACCGTTTGTTGCTGCGAACACGACAGATATTAAAATAAGATAAAGATCGTTATAACGTTATTTCCCAGCAATATAATCTTAGAGCTCCGAAGTTTAAATGACCCAACAATTTATTGATAATTACGTTTTCTTAGTTAGAGTCTTCAAATATTTACTCTAATATCACATTAACCGGAATGATCTCGGGGGTGAAAGCGTGGCGCATCGTAAACGTGAACTACCCACTAGACCAAGCGAGATAACACAAGGATGTAGGCAAGGGTGTTTCTAAAAGATATGAAATTCACAATCTTCGAAATCGATTAGAAAGCAATTTTATGAGAGTATAAAATACTTTAAACATATAATGTGCGGTAAACATAATTATAAACAAACAAAATAAATAATAAGTGAAAGAAAGAAAAATTGAGGCCAGCTAAAGATAAAAAATCAAATAAATTATTTTGTGAAGTCAATTATTTTTTGCCCGCAAATTGTCGATTTTGTCGATAAAATCAGTGGTAATCCAAATCTCAAACTAGTTGAGAAATTACTAACTAAAATCCTATATTATGAATGTTTACGTAAAAATAATTGGTAAAAGTTCTTCATAGAGAAAAAATTCTTTCAATGAATCCGGCTTGATACCGCGAGAATTTCCAGAGATTTCTGCCTACGCCCTTGCATAGCACAAGATAACAATACAGCTGGTGTGGCGCCAAGCTGTATAGCCGTTTCCATAGTCAGACGGTTTTGCGTTTTATGATAATGCTCTCGCGTCAAACATACACCGTTACCCCCGGCGTTTACTCGAAAATTTTCGTCGCGACGGAGTAGGTAAAATGTCGCGATTCACCTCGCGCATTACAAATGTTTTTTACGGTGTTGCTCCGTAAGCGAGTTACGGCCGCAAAGCCCACCTTCGCGACCCGTTTCGCCGGTGACGCGGAAATATCATACTCGCTGGATTTTACGGGCCGCGTGTTTAAAACTCCCATGTTTAATTATTCCCACGAAATGTAAACTACCCGAATTATGGGCGAACTGCTTCGCGTGGCTTTAAAACTACGAAGGAGATACGATTATCCTTCCTAATGGTCGCACCGAGGTTCGTTAGCGTAACTGCGTAATGCTCGCTCGGCCGTAATTTTACACTAAATATGCATGGAAAATCTTTTTCGGCCAAATTTTAATTGGAATAATAACGCGTCACGAAGAAGTCGATTATTTCAACGATACAGAACTTTTAATTGAATTTATCGAGTAATTAAATGTTCCAGACAAAATTAATCTTGTTCATGATTATTAACAAATATACATGTAGCTTTGCCTATTATTTTATTATATGAAATTATTAGTTATTGGGTGAGAAAAGCTGAATTTTCAACAACTTACCTGGCCATTTCTTTGACGAATCAACTCGCAGGGTTCCTTCGCTCTGGATTTGATCCTTCCCGTTGGTGACGCGACAAGTATAAAAACCAATATCCGAAACGTCCAAATTTGTGATTTTTAATCGACTTCCTGCCAAGTTCTTCGCCGCGTGCTCGTGCATCTAGAATGTTACGTGTACTCGTGTCTACGTTCATTAAATAGTAATTTGTGAATTAAAAATGAGAAAGCGCGAAAACTTTTTTCAACGAAAAATCGAAAAGGAATTAAAAATTGTATACTTATATTGAATATATAAAAAAGTAAAATGCTTTTGAATACAAAGATAGAAATCTGAATTGGAAGAATAAAGCAATCTCTCGCGCACAAAACTCTAGAGAAACAATTGCAAACTAGTAGTAGTTTAACAATTGCACTTACTTGCGCGTGTATTTTCCTAATGGTGATTTTCGGCCGGTTCTCTTCTAACGGCGCTTCATTCTTATACCATCGTATCTTTGTCGGAGGTGGATCGCCCACGACTTCGCATCGCATATGAGCAATGCCGCCGGCATCCTTCGAGATGTTTGTCAGAGTTCTTACGAATTTTAAAGTGCCACTTTTCGTGCCGGATGCAGCGTCCACGTCGGTTCTGTGAAAAAAATGGTATAACGCATTTTACTTTACAATAGTGAAATGTGTAAAATATAAGCAACCCTTTAAAAATATCTTTGCGATAATGTAGAATTTAAAGCGTTAAAAATTTCTTCGATTAACTGAGGCTTGTCAGTCGCGGAAGTTGGAATTTCGGGCGTCGAAGGCCGAGCGACGGTTCCGAGAAATGGCGTAGCGTCGTAAACACTTCGGGCAAAAACAATCTATTCTCACTGTGCTTATCATTCACGCGGCGACAGTCGTACGGATCGGTTAGCGGCCCGCGCCGCTCCGCATATCGTATCATTCATTATTGATACGCGCTCGCGACAAGTGCGGGTAGAAACCGCGATCGTTGAATCCCCGCGATTCGCAATCGATGCTTGATTAACCGGCAAGACACATGAAGTCTGTACGTTCCAAAATCAAAGCGCTAGCTAATTCGAAATTATAACAACAATATTACAGTCTTATTTAAATTCTATAATTGCCACTTCAAGAATACGTATAATTATTTTGACAAGAAAATCATTTTAAACATTATTATAAATTGCGATTTGAAAATATGTCATTTTCTATCCAATTTTGTTTCCTTTCCATTAAAAAAAATTTTTTAAATAATAAGCGTATATTTTTCTCGATTAAATAAAATAAAATTGGTTCATTCAAGTAAGTTTTTCTTGCTCTCACGCAATATAATCTCATTTCAAGATTTTCACGTTGAAACTAAACATATTTTCCAAAGAAAAATATCCTTTTTGTCGGTGTACGATGTGTAAAGTAATGTAATGTTTTCAACATCATATTACTTTTTGAGAGCGAAATTGTGCGACACGCGGGAATCAATATCGTGTTCTCAGGGATGTATATGGATTCATGCATACTAGCGCGATAATCGTGAGTGAGTGAGATACTAGTGTCAATTCGACGCAACGCACTTCAGAGACGTGGATGCTGGGAATCAATTGCAGCTTCCGGCGGGAGGAGGCAATCAAATGGCCGCGTTTACACTTCGGTGAGTGCCAATTCAACGAATACCATTGCGATATTAAATACATTAATACGCGGAGTTGTCTACGATTTTTGCCCTTTCTCACCCCGTTCGTGAAAGTAGGGGCGTATCCCACCAAGTTTCTTTTATCGCGAGAGACTTGATGTACGATGTCGCGAGGCTGCGAGACGCATTTAGCGGCGCGCACGTTTCCAGAAATGTGCACCGCACATTTTTTAAATCTCGTATATTCGCGCAAAGATACGGCCTGGCGGCGCTTCCACTCTTTCTACTGAATTCCTGGAAAGTCATGGGAATAATTCAAGGGAAACGCGCTCGCGGGACAAAGGGCGACTTTAATTATGTCGCCGATGCAGCCGCATTTCACACGACGACATTCACGGTTGCCGACAGACCGCGCTAATGTTACGACGTACCGTTGTAACGAGAGATACGCGGCCGTTCGGGTGCCAACGCGTTCACGATGGCGATGGGGCGCGATTATTATCCGCGGTTACCTTTGTGCGTTGATATCGTTGCCGCTTGGCACGAGAAAACGGAGATAAATTTGACAAAGATATTTAAATGTGCTTGGTGGAGTCCCGATAGTCGGTGACAAAGTACCACGCGAGATATTTAATCGACATAAAATTTTGCATAATTAATTGCACAGTTATATTTACATAAATACAAGTTTTTACTAGGGTTGGAAAGTAACTCGTTACTTGTAACGAAGTTACAATTACTTAATTTTTTTTGTAACTCTAACTTAACTTCGTTACTTTCTCGCCATCTGTAGCTTAACTCAGTTACATTTTTCGAGAACTAGTAACTGATTTAATAGTTACGTTAATAGCAACTTTATATATATTTTAAACCTCCACAGATCGCATTAGGCCTTGCATAAACGCCTTTATCGACACTTTGCAATTCGAATGCAGATTTGATTTTTATTTTCATTGTAAGAAAGTAACTGCAAAGTAAACGATTCGTTACTTTTTGAGTAACTGTAACGCGTTACTTTTCACAATTGGTAACTTGTAACTGTAACTAGCAAAATTTTAATGAAAAAACTGTAACTAGATACTTTTATAAAGTAACTCTCCCAACCCTGGTTTTTACAAAGAAAGGATAATTTCAGTTGAAGACAAACGAATGCAGGACTAGTAATTCACTGCGATTATCAAATTTCTCTATTCGTTCAAATGTACATTACACGTTCCTCAATTTTTCGATGCACTTTTGAAATAACTACGTAGCCGATTATTATAGCAACACAGAACTTTGTTACACCTTGTTAATCCGATTTGCATTTTACTGCAAACAACTAGCTTTGGAAAAAAGAGATATCCCTCATGCATTTATAAACAGCGTTCCATTAAATTTTGCTTGGTCGGTATCCGTTCTCGCTGCGAGGCGAATTCGAGCGATGGCTGATATGCGAAGGAACACAAACGGAGGAACAGGGCGGTTAGGGTGACCCTATCCTTCCGCGGAGGGCCAATCATCGAGTTTACATTGCCGCCTGTGTGCGTGCAAGTCGGCAAGAAGTGTGTACGTGTGTACGTACGTACGCATACACGAATGCGTGTGCGAGCCCTTGGATACACGGACGTGAGGAACGTCTGTGTACGTACCATCAGCCACGTTTGCACGTGGCAGGACGTGATTGCACGTGGGTACGGGGGGGTAACTAACCCCGCGTTTACCGCTGGTTATTGAATATAAATCAACCTGTGATCAGTAAGTCATCGCGGTGGTATAGGCCTGCCAGGAAGTTCGCCTCGTTCGCGGCGAAACAATGTAGATATGCAAACATTTGCCAAGGCAAGGAAATAGATAATCGTCACGAAGTATATATAAAAATTGCTATTTTAAATCATGATATATATACAGATAGAATATCTTTCGATCGAGAGTTTGAACACGCGCGCATATAATAATATCGTTTAATGAAATATCGTGCGTGCTATTAATGTCTCTTTTCTTCTACCACGATACACGTGTTTTTATTTTAAAAAATATCCTCCACTCTTATTCGTCGATTAAAATATTAATTTCGACACATTGGTTTTCGCAATGTGCATAATTCCTTAATGTCTTTCATAAATGTCAAGATTGCTCATTCCTTTATGATGTTATCAAGGGACTTTCGACCAAATTCGGATCAGATACCAAATGCGGATCAACAATTTGATGAGTCGCTCGATATAATAAGCGACATAAAAATACGTCGATGCCTTTAGTGACATCGGCGATACAGCATGTTGTACATATATGAAAGAGCAAAATTTAAGTGAATTAAAAAACGTCGCTTATTAGCAACTCATCAAATTTGTGATCCGCATTTTGTCACCTTACCCTACTATCTTAATATTTTTTTAAACACTCTATCCCGCAAACCAAGTGTAAATTTGAGAATCCTCTCATAAATTTGCCCTGAATGTCTGAATTGAATATGGCAAAAGAATTTGATTTCTGGGCTGCATTAAAAGCTTGCCAGTTCCCACTCGTCGGTGCGGCACGACATGCATAAATGCGCCAGTGCAAATTGCATAAAAATCAACGGCGACGTGTGTCACGACCGTGGGCTCGCAGCTTTCGACGCCGGGTGGCGCGTATGAAATTAGCGGCGTGTAGCGGCGGGCAAGATGAAAATATCGTACGCCGCCTGTGGCGTTGCACAACGCGCCAGTTGACTGCGCTTTATCTACTCGCCATGTAAAGTAATTCTATGCATTTTGAAGCGGACACCGCGTTTATCAGCCGGTTGAAGCGAAACCTGCCCTTTCCACTTTCGGCGCGCTGCACGCGATGACACGCGCGTGCATTCTTAACTCGGCGTGACGCGCGATATATACATAAAGCTGCATACATTTACGTACGTAAACGCGACGCTGCACTCTTATCTATCGGCCCATCATGGCGACATTTTTGTCGCGCAGTCTCACTGTGTACAGAACGCGGGAAAATTCTAGGAGATTACATACAGCTTACATACAGCTGTGAGCTGAGGCAGGATTAAAATCTGTAGAGGCTTTATGTATCTAAAAGTTCACGGCGTGTCATTCACTGAAGTGATAAATAAGATAAAGTTTCACCTTTCGAAACGCAAGATTTGTATATTCAAAAATTGTCATTTATTGCAAATAATCTTACATTGTTTACTCAGGTTCGCTAGAGACATCACAATTTCGTATTAAATTTTTGTGAAATAACCGTGAAAAAAAAACACTTTTACTTTACAATCCCTAGAGAAGTTTTTAAAATATAAATTTTTCGCAATACATTTACAAATTAAAATCATTCAGACACTAACATCCTGTCTTGGCTCTAATATCCTTTATTCCTTCGTATTGTGGTTTCACGCCTTGTGAATTTTATTGGTTAAAATATTGTAATTTTATTTTATAGGATACCTAATTTTTTTTTATTAATTAGATATCAAAATAATTAGGAAAGAAAGAAACTTATGATATCCCACATTGAAATGATGTGAACGTTATTGAAATATCTTTCGCAAATGTTCGATAACGCACGCCATTTAGTTTTCATGCTATTCTTGTTTTAAATGTCGGGCAATATAATTAATTATCATTATTAATGTTTCACATGTGTCATTATCACTTATCAACGCTGATCTTTTTAAGTGTCGAAATTTTCATGAAATGATTACACGCTTTACTTGACGAGAGCTAATTACAGAAGCATTTGCAGTTGATCGAGTCACGAACGTTAATCGATCGACTGGAAATAATTAATATCGGAGTAAATATACAGTTTGCTGTACCCTACGGCGAAGGGCGGCGACGGCAAAGATCGACAAAGGGATTTACAGAACAACCATGACATGTATTCATGATATATAATAGCGTATGCGACTCCGCTAATTACGCGGTCCAGCCCCTCGTAGTTGTACGTCGTTATATTTGTTCCGTGCGCAAGATATTATTGCACAAATATGTTGCACACTCGTATACCGAATGAGTACGTACCGCTTCACCGGC